GGGTGCCCAGCATGAGCGTGCCTTATAGAGCTGGCATATTTCATAGTAGATACAGAATACATACATGTTGTGGCTTAAGTAGATATACCTGAGATAAATAAGGAACTGATGTGGATGAGTTGATTCAGTGCACCCTGGAGACAAGTCACTCCCCACCATTGAGTATCCTACTTGTTTTGTCACTGTTGTTTGCTTTGAGCTTATCTAACCTACAGCCAAGTGAGCTTATCTAAGCTATGGACAAGTTTCATGGGAGGGCAAGTATCTTATCCTTGGATGTCAGCTGGTGGAGTTGACACCAGCTGTTGCAATCAGGAGCCCTGGGTTCTGAGGGCTGCTTCAGTCCATTGGACAAATCATTCAGCTGTCATTGTCTGAGCCCGACACCTATCCATGAACCATGGAGATGCTATTACCCCCCCTTTGCAGACGTGGAAACTGAGGCATGAAAAAATTGAATGACTTATCTAAAAAGAAAACATCAATTATAGGGAGAGACAAGAGTAAACTCTTAATCTAGTGCTTTTCTTCTATTCCACACTTCCTCCCAGACCATCAGGAAAATGAAGTAATCCAACCCAAGAATTCTCCTCTGGAAGCTCCTCATAGACTGTCTATCTGAAGATAAAAACAACCACAAATTCAGTTTACATCTTCTTTTACTCCCTAGCCTGTTGGAGCCAAGGCTGAATGGTTCCAATTTGCCTATGGTGGTTTTTATGATGTGGGTTGGGATCACTGGGGACTGTTCTGAAACCATCAAATTCATTTCAATTAGAAGTGTAACTTAATGTCCAATTTCCAAACCAGATTCCCTGGATAAAAGTAGGCCATTTGGTTTGCCAAGCTGCTTCAACCAGATGAACAGTATTTCTGGGGGTGACAATTATGCCCAATTGTGAACCCTGAATGGGGCATTTTCTCCAAGTTAACAGGAGGTTCAACTCAGTCAAAAAGAGGGGTGGGAGAGTCCCATGGAAAATGGGGGGGGGGACGTGTGAAATTTGAACCAGTGTAGATCAATTCCAGAATGCTGCCCAGGGATTCCTAAAAAAGATCCCAGGGAAAAATAAATACATCTCATCCTTATTAACACTCCAAGCCCTTAAATGAGTCCCGATGTTAATCCCTAAGAGATGCCTAAATGCCTACTTCAAATTGCTGCCCCGCTTGTCTTATAAAACAACTTGTACTTCTTTTTATTCTCTCCATGTTCAAAAATAAAGGAAATTCCTTTTGCAGTCTAGGGCCAAGGAACAACCCAAGCCTGGCTTTGATTACTGAAAGCTGGAGAATTTTGAGTGAAAGCTGCAGCCAGCTGCCAGGCTTGTTATTAGCAATAAGCATCAAGCCGTCCTCTGGAGAGCAGGGGCCTTTTGAGAATGTCAGACAGCAGCCTGCACCTCCCTTTGACAGCACCTGCAGTCACCGCTGGAGGTACAAGCCTGTCCAGAACTCCATTTCCCCTTGGCTGAATCAGCAGCCGTAATCAACAGAGAAATAACCCCTTATATTTATATAATATCTACCTACAAGCGACTCAAATTGCCACACTCCTGTTTAAGATTCTACAATGGCTCCCCATTGTCCCTCAGACCAAGTCCAAATGCCTGGGTTTATTTTTCCAGCTCTTGCAACAACAGAGACCACCTTAGTTATGCAGGAGCTTTTTTCTTTCTTCCTTTCTTTTTCTTTTTTTAAACAGCTTTTCAGCTAAGACATTCTTCTGCAGCCTAAGACGGTCATGATGGAGAGAGTGGAAAGGTCTCCAAACCTGGAAGGCTCGGTTCAAACCCCAGCTCTACCCCAACTATAGGGCTGGGGCAGGCAAGTCACTCACTCCTCCCAGGACTCAGTTTCTTTCTCCTTTATAAACTGGTGCATCAGAGTAGATAATCTAATCTAACATGTCCTTTGTGAATCTGAAATCTTACAATTTTTCACTCTGTCAAA